CTTAGCATTGCCCGAATTAAAAGGCCAAGGCCATCCCCGGGTTAACAAAACCCGAAGTTATAAAAGCTTATAAAAACCTAGGCAAAGCACACTTTATACAAGTCATATTCTAAAAGGTATAAGTGTTATAGGAAAAAACTTCCCGGACAATGCGGATTCCACGACGCCTTAGAGATTGATTATATCAAAGGTAAAAGCCTGTTCGGAATTCCAAACAAGACTAATTAATGCTAAGGCATTTTAATCTTTGTAAAACATAAAGAGAAAAGCAAAGGAAGAATTCGAGAGTTATAAAAAAGAAATGGAAAATTTATATTTACAAAATATTGTCTTTACAAAGGCAGAACAGCTTCAACACAGTGTACTAAGTACAAAAAGAAACAAATCAAACAGAAGCCACCTGATCTTGGCCGGAGCCCGCATCGTCATCTGGATTCCCAGGGTCTTCTCCATCCTCGGAGCTGCTTGATTCCTTAGAATCCTCCTCCTTGGGATAGGCCAACTTCCTGGCCTCGGCTTCGAGCACCTTGGCATCCTTGATCTCGGCCAATAAGTCAAAACCCCGAGAGTGAATTTCCTCGAGGGCCTGCCTTTGAGATTGCCACTTCATATGCTCGGCTATATTTTTTTATTGGTCTTGATCAGCTTCAGCATCTGCCTTATACTGGGCTACCATTTCAGCAGCTTCGGACTTGGCCACGATGACCTCTAACTTGGCCATTTTAAGTTCCTTGACCAGATTATCTCGATTTGAGACGCCCGAACCGAGCCGAGATTGGAGCTCTTCAACCCTTTTTGTATGAACCTCAGCTCTTTCCTTTGCCGCTCTTAGCTGGATTTCGGCTCGGAGCTGAGCAATCCGATTGAGTTTTTGCCGGACCTGCAGATTTTGACCATCAGCCACCGAATCAAATTCATCATCACTTACTTCAAAAACTTTTACCTGCTCGACCAAGTCAGCATGATCCTTCCGGGCCACTTCTAGCTTGGCACGGAGGTTCTTATAAGCTCTCGAACTCCAGCTTTGAGTTGTTTTAGGTCATCCCAGTACCTCAAAAAAGCCTCGTGATGAAGCACCGAAGCCTACGAGCAAGAAGGGAAATGCTAAAACATCTGCGAAATAATCGAAGTATAAATCAAAAATTCACTTAGGAAAGCAAGAAGTTACCCGGTTCAACGCCTGTTGTGCTTCGTTGAAAAGGCAGGATGCATCCACCTCGTTCATCTTAGCTTGATCATCCTCGGTCACCAGGCACTGAAGATAGCTGGCCACCCCTATGGGGGTAGAGAGAACTCGGGCATCCTCCGGAAGTGAAAAAACAATGGTGCGCTTCCGATTAGGATATGCACTCGGGGTAGGGAATCGATCGACCAATTTTGGGGTCGAGGAAGGCCCACTTGCTTTTGAGAGAGAGCTCTTCCTTGGTATCTCTAAATCGCCAAATCCAATGGCGTCCTCCGTGGCCGTCGAATCCACACCGTCAAAAACACCACGGAAGGGGTCGTTCGATTTATGGATCCTCTCGAGGGGGCGTTCTTTTGCAACCTGGGCCTCGTTAAACATCGACTCTGTAAACGAGGGTGACTTGGCAATCTCTATCGGGTCGAGTGCTTCCTGCAGGGCTTTGCCAGCATCTCGGGAAGCCTCAGCTCCTACCTCCACCTCGGTCTCCCCGACATGATAAAATTCGGCCTTGCCCCCTGGTTCGGAGGCCCCTTGCCCTTCGAGTTGCGACGACATACTGATCACGAGATCAAAAGCTTCTCCTTCCTCCTCGGACTCGTCCCTCAGTCGATAGAGTGAATCCAGGGACAATGCTCTACCATTGGTGCTTCCCTTGGGTTTACAAGCTAATCTTTTCTTTGGCCTCTTTTTCTCAGGGCCTTGAGAACTCGGGGCCTTTTTCCTTTTCTTCTCTTTATCCTGCCCCGAGGCAGGGGGCTCACTGAAGATATCGTCATCACCAGATGGAGTCCTTATCTCAAAATCTTTTGGTAAACCTGCAAAAAAGGAGTAAAAGCAAGTTAGAAATCGATAGCGCGAACCTTCTAGGTCAAAGTCATTTGAGAAAACTCTTTACCATGAGGACGGGCCTCTCATCGGCCCTTCGATAGCTCGCGCCACGAATGCTCGGAATAAAGTCTTTGCTTCACAATTCCCTCGACCCATTCCCCTTTATCTCTTATTTTTAGGAGCTCCATTTTCTCTGCCAAAATTTGACGTATGCTTCCCGAAATGATCGGCTTTTGTTTATTGTGTGTTCAATCTTTTTCTATTTTAAGTATTTGCATTACATATTTATTTGGGATTTAATTAAGATCCTCAAGATCTTCATCTATTGTTCTCATTATATCGAGATTCTTTACATTCTACTTTTCTTAATTATGTCGTCTTCTTTGTCTAATACTGCATGCTTTAATCGAGTAAATACTTTCATTGGTTCATAAGTATATCTCCTGAACATGCATTCAAACTCAATTGAAATAAAGCAGTATTGTCTCTTAAGATTTTTTTTCCCTAGAATGCTTTATAACCTATCCACTAAAGAATTGCTAAAATTACGAATATATTTTTGAAGATGTAAAAAAATAATTGAAATGCTAAAATGACACATTTCAAATTTTAATATTTGACATGGTGCATTAAAAGACGGGGACACAGAGAGAGATATAAGCTCGTAGGCATGGCAGTGTAAACCCATGAATCTTTTAAATTTTGCTAATTTATAAATTACAATAATTTTGTATAATTCCATGATATACGAATCAACTACAATGTCCTAACAATCCAAACATCAAAAGGAAACAAGAATCCTTTTGGAAACAATGTGTTATATCTACTTCCGGAGAAGTAGATGAGTCGAGGCACACTTTCTTAATACTACTACGAGTCGTGTACAAACCAACTTACGTATACCTCAACTATTTTACACCTCCCACATGTACGTGTATCGAGTAACTCTAATCATTTAGTGTTTTAAAAACTAATATTTACATTACTAAATTCCTTGTTTGAGATGCAATCTAAGTGTTAGATAAGTGAGAAATATGATATTTAGACTTACAGGAATAATAACAATTACATATGCTTCCAACTGATTAATACTCCCTCTAATCCACAATAAGTGAAAAATATGATATTTAAACTTACAGGAATAATAACAATTACATGTGCTTCCAACTGATTAATACTCCTTATGGTCCACAGTAAGTGATCATTTTAGCTATAACTATTTTTTCCTGATTGAAAGGTTCCATCAAAATTCACCCTTAGGGGTCATTTGGTACGAGGTATAAGAAGGTATATTGCTGGTATAAAAATTTAATACCACCTTAATACTTTGTTTGATTAGCAAACCTGATATAAATTATTTCGGGATTAAAATTAGTACCGGAATAACTTATACTTTGTAGAGGGTGGGGTAATTAGTGTCGGGATAACTTATACATTCTCCTTACAAATTATGCAATTGTCATTTTTAATACCACATACCAGACAGTGGATCGGATAAAAACAATACGAGGATAACTAATCACAGCATAACTAATCTCAATATAATTTATCCAAGCATAACTTATCCCGAATTAAGTCGTATTCAAACCAAACGACACCTTATAGTGTTCTTAGCGCAAAAAATTCAATATTAGGACACAATTTTTAGTTGCATTGTTATCAACGTCTAATTTATGATCGAATGATGGCTCTTAAATTGTTCAGATTTAGTAAAGAAACTTTTGGATTTACAAGGCTAATTATACTTGATTAAACTAAAGTAATGGAATGAGCCTCGTGCATTGGGCGTGTATTTTACAAGACAAGAGCTCCACGCATGTCTTAGACCGTCTTACGAGTGCCTCGTCGTAAGCGAGCTCCTGAAGAGTCTTAATTTTGCCTTTGTACGCAGTTTTTGTGATACCTATATATTTAAAATATACATCTAAATGTGTGTATTCACTATTTTTGTCTGATTTTCTTTGAACATCATATCCAATACCGTAATTTTATGTACATGTCAACTTATAGATTCTTGCTTTAGAAAAAGAAGAAAGAAACCTCCTCCCCCATCCATAGCAAATAGTCAATTCCTTTACTTCACCCATTGGATACCAGTCAATTACTACTACAAGTCGTCATCATTGTGACAGAGCATTTTCGAATTCATTTTCCTAATTTGAACCTTAAGAAAATCCTATTCATGGCAATTAAATACACCTTTCACCTTTCGATTCTTAATTATATAAAATAGCAAATGAATCAACATTTGTATCTTATGCGAACTCTCAATAGCACCCTTTGTTGCTCAAATCTTGCAGTTAATTTTTTTTTTCTAAGGTATAAATTGGAAAAAATAAATAAAAAGTATCTTTTTTTTGACTATGAATGTTTTTTTCTAGTTTAAACGGTTCAGTTGCTATTCACATTCTGTCAAATATGACTACCGTCATTTTTCGACTATGAATGTTTTTTTCCAGTTTAAACGCTTCAGATACTATTCACATGCTAATTCTGTCAAATATGACTACCGTAATTTTTCGACTATGAATATTTTTTTTCAATTTAAACGGTTCAGATGTTGTTCACATGCTAATTCTGTCAAATATGACTACCGTAATTTTTCGACTATGAATATTTTTTTTCAATTTAAACGGTTCAGATGTTGTTCACATGCTAATTCTGTCAAATATGACTACCGTCATTTTTCGACTATGAATATTTTTTTTTAATTTAAACGGTTCAGATGCTAATTCTGTCAAATATGACTACCGTAATTTTTCGACTATGAATATTTTTTTTTAATTTAAACGGTTCAGATGCTAATTCTGTCAAATACGGCTACCGTCGTGTTATAAATATATGAAAAATTAACAGTGCTAAGTTTTGATAAACATAAGGACTACAACTGCTAAAATATACTATATAAGACTAATTTACACCAACCGAAAACATAAGGGACCAGTTTTGTCATTTTCTCCTAATATGGCCTTTAGGATTTGTAAGTTGTAACTTCACCTTTTGAAGCGGAAAATAGAAAAAGAAAAGCTTCGACCTTCTCTTTTTTCTCGACATTCACCGCCGCTGCTCCGCCAGTCCAGCCTCGGATATCGAGTGCCAGCTACTCCGCCACTCCGCCAGCCGTTCACCAATCGCCGGAGCAGGTATACTTGGATTTACACCTCTTCAGCATTTCCTAATGCTGTGTTTACATCAATAACACTGTGACATTACCTATAAAAAGAACAAGATAAGTTGGTTGAGAACATTCCTTCAAATTTTTAACACTCACATATTGTAGTAATTAGTTTCTGTGCAAGCAGTAGGCATTTGGTTTGGAGATGCCCAAATTTGAAAAGGCTCAACTAAACCCCAAGCCCTACATAGCTAAGTTACCAATTCGCACAAATCAAAACCGAAAGAGAAAAACTTAATTGTACCGAATTTAATTTGGTTTGGTTTCAGTTTAGAGTTTTGTAGAAACCGAAACCGAAAATACCGAATCAAATTTTCCAAAACCTAACCGAGCTGACTGATAAGCGCTCAGACGAAATTCAGTTGTACGTTTAACCCTCTTTTTTCCTCCTTTCCTCTGATTCTCTTTTATCTGTAGTTTGTAAAAAAAGTCATTATCTGCTTTTTTTTTTTTTTTTTTTTTTTTTTTTTTTTTGTGGTTTGTTTGTGGGGTTTAATTTGTTTTTTTGTCTGGATATAAAATAACTACAGAAAAAATCTTGAAATGTTTTATTGAGTTAATTATTTTGGATGTTTTTTCCTAATCAAAATAGTTGCACTCGATAAACCCTTGAAAAACATGGCATTGATAAATGGGTATGGCGAATCTTGATTGTATATGATGTATGCTTTATGGACCATAAAATACGAAGCATTCAATATTCTATATATCATATGATTCTTCGGTGTCATTTATCTTCCAGATTTTTGGGCTTTCAAATTGTTTTGCTTGGATAGAGAATATTTTTTCTTGCGAGTTTTGAAATGGTTTCGTCTGGATAGAAAATTGCTTTTGAAATTTTAGAAGTTGGATTTTGATTTTGATGTTATGGATGTTGTTAACTAAGCTGCTGAATGAGCTGATTTAACATTTTGAAAACCTCAAGTTGGCTGACACTATTGTAATTATATGTAAATTAGGGTACCACTTTACCTAGCTGTCAATGATGAAGAGGGTATGGAGAATCTCGGATGCTTCCCAGACGGAAGCAATTCTCCAAAGATTTTCTGAAAATTATAGAAAACATTCATGGTGTTACACGATTGCACGAGCTTCAGCTAATACGTTGTGGGTTCGAGGACTAGCAGGCGGAGCAGCTTCTTCCCAACCTGCCTGGTCACAGGTATTTGCTTTGTTCGCAGACAGGTGGAGTCACGCTGATTCATTGGTCAAACAGGATCTGAGAGAAAGGGTTTCACATTTAAGGGATGAGTTGCTAGCTTGCAGTGGTGATGCTGAAAAGATTGAGAGAATATTAGCAGATAGAGGGGTTTTGTTGTTTAGGAGGTATGCAGATGGTTCTGCGGTTGTTGAGCTCTTAAAACAGCTAAAATCTTCTCCCCAATTAGCGCTCCAGGTGATTTTATTTCTGTACGTATTATACTTATTATCTGTACGTAGCAACATACCATATCCTCATTGTAACTGAACCTATTTTGTTTTGCGATGGTTGACTTATTTTTTGTCTGACAGATTCATTATTTGCCAGTTATAAACTACATAAAAATTCTGCTAACCACCAATCTTTGAAATAAAAAAGGATAAAATAAATATAAATATGGAATCTTGGTCAAAGAGGACTTGTTGACACTGCAAAGGTCAATTGAATTGGGACCTCGTAGACTGCTTGTGTGAATTTAACTTTTATGATTACATTATGTAAACTAGGCGTGGGAAATAATAATGGAGTTGAGTTTGTGGATGAGACAAAAATGAGGCGTTTCTCTTCTTTTGGCAATATTAGACGATTCTCTTTTCGGTTAATCAATAGTAATTTCGTGTCATTCTAGTAGTCACAATTTAAGAAATGTCTTGTATGCCTTCACTGTATTATGTACTTCTTCTCAATGTCTTCTACCTAAGACCAGATGTTAAGTCTATGATCACTGCTATTTTTTTTTTGGTTGAGGAAGTAACGTACTTTGTCTGTTTTCTCAGGCTTTTGACTGGAGGAGAAGACAATTGGATTACTGGACTCCCATGACAGCTGAGGAGTATTCCAAGGCTATTGTTGTGGCTGGAAGGTTAAAGAATGTTGATCTTGCAGCTGAACTATTCAAAGAGGCTTCCAACAAGCAACTCAAGTCCACCTCTTTATATAACGCCCTTATGACTGCTTATATGTTCAATGGTTTGGCTGTAAAGTGTCAATCAGTTTTTCGGGACTTGAAGAGGGAAGCAACATGTACTCCAACTATTGTAACATACAACATACTTATCTCGGTGTTTGGTAGATTAATGTTGATAGATCACATGGAGGCAACCTTACGGGAAATAAATGATTTGAATATCTGCCCAAATGTTAGTACATACAACAATTTAATTGCTGGGTATATCACAGCGTGGATGTGGGATGATGTGGAGAAGACATATAGAATCATGAAGGCAGGAGGTGTCACACCTGATCTTGCTACCCATTTATTGATGCTTCGAGGATATGCACATTCTGGTAAGTTGGATAAGATGGAAGAGATCTATGAGCTTGTCAAAGGTCATGTTGATCAGTACGGGATCCCATTAATTCGATCTATGATATGTGCTTACAGTAAAAGTTCTGACGTAAATAAAGTTCAAAAGATTGAAGAGTTGATGAGGTTGATTCCTAAAGATGATTATAGGCCTTGGTTGAATGTCATATTAATCTGTCTGTATGCAAAGGAGGATTTATTAGACGAGATGGAAAATTCAATAAATGAGGCATTTAAACGTAACACGTCCGTCACAACAGTTGGTGTCATGCTTTGCATCATTTCAAGTTATTTCCGAAACAATGCAGTAGACGAGCTTGCTAATTTTGTTAGCCGTGCAGAATGTGCTGGTTGGAAAATATGTAGGTCCCTTTACCACTGCAAGATGGTTATGTATGCTTCACAAAGGCGACTCATTGAAATGGAGCAAGTTCTTGGCGAGATGGATAAAGTGAACTTGGACTGTTCAAAGAAAACGTTTTGGATATTACTTAAAGCCTACACAACGTGGGGGGAAAAGGATAAACTTCATCAGGTCTTGGGTATGATGTGCAAGCATGGATATGGAATTCCTACGAATGGATGAACGTGGTAGTTCATATTTCAATTTACTCCTGTCATCTTGCTTTGAAGGTCGTGGTTAACTGATTGTAATGCTGCTGGAATTTGGGATTTTGATGAAGCCAGTTGACACTCTTATTTAGTTCTCCCTTTTCTTGTTCCCTCTCATTGCTGATATACAACAGTTAAAAGCTCAAGCGATGAAAGCATTTCTATTTTACAGAAGAGTTAAGTCAAGCATGTGTGATGAACATGTCTGCTTATTGTCAATAAAATTCTGGGTAATTTAGACATCTCATAGTACTTAGTTATGTAACTTTACGTGTCTTATAACGGGAAACTGCATTGCCATGTACCGCTTCTCTATTTTGCTCTAAAATCTTCTACAGCCTCTTCGGTTCATCGCCTTCCAGCTTTTCTGGGTTTTAGCATCATCTCTCCACTACTAACTTTGTATGTTCTTTCTATTCTGCTTTCCTATTTTTTCTTGTATTATTATCTTTTATATATACGCTTCTGACTCTGACAATATAACTGCTCTCTCTTCTTGGCTGTTCTTGCTAGATTCTTTGTTGCTGCACCCGCTTGGATATTATGTTGTTCCATTGCCTCTGATCGGTGAGTCTCACCGATATTCTATCACTTTTTCTTCTTTCTCCCTGGTTTCTAAATTTAAATCTGGGTTAATGGTTTTAATTCCACAATAGAGCAAGTAGTAACATAGATGATGCTACTTTTGGCGTATTTATTTTTAGGGTAATTACACTAAGCACTCCTACAATATTGCTCAGTTTTATATACACCGCTTGTACTTCTAAAAGAAACACGCAATACCCCTATATTATGAAAATCCAACACATTCTTATTTCCTTTATATAAAAATTAATACATGGACAAAGTTGCCCTTATCCCGATTTTCATTCAATCCTTCTAGAACAATTTCCATTATCCAACTTTTCCTCACAACTCAATAAGTTTGAGCCTTCTCCTCTATTGTTACCGTATCCCAGCAGCCTTACCAAGTGTGGCCTTATCCTCCAAAGTGTCTTGATTTCTCTTGTAAAGCTTTTGTCCAATAAGAGATTCACATTTTAATTGATTTATATATAACCGCTGTTCGGACTAATGGAGGCATAACTTCGGCAAACACCTTTGGTGAATGGTTCGTGACCAATTCGATCGACGATAATTACATCTATATATTTCTCTTTGAAAATAAACTTTTGTTGCAAAGAAGAAAAAGAAGAGACCGGAATACGGAAGTGTTTCAAGTTTAGAGAGTGTCCAACGGAATGGCCAGTAAATGACACGTGAGTAAGGATGGGAATAGGGATAAGGGCAACTTCCATATATTAATTTTTATATGAAGGAAATAAGAAATGTGTAGGATTTCCATAATATAGGGGCATTAAGTGTTTGATTTAGAAATACATGGGTATATCTAAAATTAAGTGATATTATAGGGGTGTTTAGCATAATTTACCCTTGCTTTTATAGTAAAATAGATAGATGATTCTGTTTAATTAATCGAGTATTTTAAATGGCCTTCATAGTAGTTATTTGATGCAATTATTCATAGGAATCATGAATATCTGGAAAGCTACACTGCTTGAATGCCCATTCTTCCCTCTTTACTGATGGAAATGCTAAAATTGGTGTTGCCTCTATTCAATTGCTGGTTTAGAAATAATTCTCGTTCTTATTTTTTTTTCTAGAATAAATGTTGTCCCTTTTCTCAAATGACAGCGTTACTTTTCTATCTTGTTTTGAGAATCGAGTATTTCACAGCCTTTGTGGTGGTTGTTATTCGAAAAGATTTATGCATTTGGCTTCAAAGATCCATTGTGTGTATAGTTAGAAGAATGTTGCTACAGGATCCGAACTTCCTGTTTTCCCATTTATTTTCTGACAAAAATTGCAGAGCCTTGAGATTGATATTTTATCAAGGCAAAGAAAAACTTTTTTCTGACAGTTCTATTACTTCAGAATGAGTGTTAATATTTGGCCGAAGTGACAAATTACTCATTTAGAATGAACTATCACATGAGATATAAATGAGGTACCATCTGACATATTGTGCATTATTCATTCTCTTCTGTCAGTTTTTAGAGGAGTAATAAGAAGAATTCTATGAACCACACTGGGTAATGCCTTCCCAAATTCATGTGGCATATTGTCATGCTCTTTGCTCCTTTAGCTGATAAGTCTTCTCTTCTGATGTGTGGGGTGTTTCTCCTATCTAAGCTGTAAGTGAGGATTGAGAAAGCTACACATATCTTTGTCAGAAGACTGACATATATTTATGCTTCTAACTGAAATTTGTCTCTTACATATATAAGAAGAGAAATTTTCATTGAAAGAGCTTTCATTCTGGAATAAACTATTTGGAAGGTCTGCTATAAGCGCCCAACTAAATTCCATGTTGAAAATTTCTGAGCAGTCGTATGCTTCTCTGTCAGGACATCCAATTTGATTGCAGACTTCATTTTTCTTAGTGCATGTGGTCTTATTCATCTAGAGGAACAAGAAAGTAAATTTCAGATAACCATGTATAGGTAAATAAATGTGGTTTCAATTGCCTGAGGAATATGCAGCTGCACTAAGGGCAATTAACACCCCCGTTATGCTGGTTGAATCTATGTAAACCATTGTGAGTTTGGATTTTCCGTCTTTTACCTTCCTGTTACTGTGCTAGCATAATGGTCAATTCTTCCATTGGTACTTATATGAAAAACCTGTGTTTCCTGAGCAGACATGCGCAGAGACAAATGACAAGGCATTTCTGTGATTATTTTTGCAAGCACCAGCCAACTCATTGCGGTTTTGTATCTGAACCAAGCCTCCGAATTCCATTATTCTACTATTTCTGCATCCAAGTCAAATTGTTTCTCATCTTCAGTTCAAATTGAGGGATCTCAAAGAAGATATTTTAGGTCTAGTATCTCCAAGCTGAAGAACAGCTGTCACTTGTTAATACTTAGAACTGCAGTGAATCCCAGATATACTTGGAAGCCGTGCCTTGATATTTCTATTCAGTTCCAAAATGTGAATATGAGGCTGTTCTTGCCCAATCAGTCAAAAGTTCCGGAAAAAACTGATGCAGAGTAGGGCATATTTCTGGGCTGTGATGTATATGAGTTTTTTCTTGCCCAATCAGTCAAAAGTTCTGGAGAAACTGAAGCAGAGTAGGGCATATTTCTGGGGCGACGTTTTACATCTGCTGGTTTATTTATTGGTTTGTCAGTCTGCTATTTAGCCTCTCAACTAGTGCATACTGAGCTGAAGCATCAGAAGAAAATAGGGGAAATAACTGTGCTTCCTCAACCGCTGGCTATTCACATGGAAAGGTCTATATTGACTATGNCTGACTACTCTGTAATTGGTGAGTGGTGCATTCTGGACTTTTATGTTCTGTTTCTTTCCACTTTCCAGGTTTGGTTGATATGATAAACTACTCTTCCACCTACTGATTATGTGAAAGCATATTACAGTAACTTTAAGGCCCTTGCTTAGAAATTCAAACTTAATGATAGATGTGGACCCAAGATTTAGAGTCATTGAGGTCGGAGGTGGTGCGGTGTATGTACTTTGTATGCATGGTTCGAGTTAAGAAAATTGTCTGGTTGAACTCCCTACAAAGGGCTAGATCTGCCTCTACTAACTAGTACTAATAGTTACTATCGAAGTTATTTTAATTGAAAAGACTGCTTCATTTCATGCAGGTATATCTGGAGATGGAAGATGTTTATTTCATTCTGTTGCTCATGGTGCTTGTTTAAGGTCGGGGGAAGCCTCTCACCTGATGAGAACCTACAGAGGCAATTAGCAGATGAATTGCGTGGGAGCACAATGGAGCATGTACAACAGTGGCCAAAGAGGTCTGAAGTTTTCACTATTTTTTTGGGTTAAACAGAAATGTTTTATAACACACCGCTACATGTTTACTACTCAACAACACCATAAAATTTGGTTAACTTTTAGTCCAGAAGGTTAAGAAACACTACTTAAATTATACGCACTTATAGTTTAATATTTCTTGCATTGATAGAGTAAAAAGTATTTGTATTATATTATCAGTGTGTATAATGTAAACAATGTTATTTGTGCTAACGCTAACCAAATTTTACAATATTCTTAAATCCATAAACATGTAGCGGTTTGTTTAATTTGCTCCAATTTGCAACATGATGCATGCTAGAATCAGCTGGTAGGGGTGTACATGGACCTGATTGGTTCGATTTTTATTAAAATCAAACCAAACCAAATCAACTATATCGGTTTGGATTAGTTCGGTTTTGTCGGGTTTTTTTGCTACATGAATATTATTTAAATTTTACTTTGTTAAATTTTTTTGTAAGTAAAATATATGTTTAGTAAAAATTTTAAAAATTGACAAAAATATAATTTATTAAAATAATTTTATGAAAGAATTTTGTTAATAACACATGATAGTTACTTTTTTAATCGTTTGACAATAATTTTTCATTGATATATACTTTCAAGATTAAACAAATTTATTAATTAAACATAAAAATCAGTATGATACCTAATTAATGATATGTTCTATTTAATTTTAGATGTCGAAATACCACTTCAAATTCGAAAAAAATATAAGAATTTAATAAATCTTGACATATGAACATGGAAGAACAAAGAGATTGACACATTTCAGTAACACTTGATAAGAAAGTGATCATATAATCTATTACTTAAGGTTGATAAAAATGGAGTACTTCATATTCTATTAAATATTACATCCCATAAGAGAATCGCAAATATTTCTAGAATTTTTGTAAAGAAAATTCTATATAAAGTTTTAAAGTATATATAAAAATTATATATTTTTGTATGTCGGTTTGGTTCGGATTTTTTTACTCAATACCAAACCAAATCAAACAAAATTTAATCGAGTTTTTTAATCAGTTTGGTATGATTTTTCGGTTCGGTTTGTACACCCCTATCAGCTGGTATGCAAAAGTTTTTTTTTTCTTGAGAGATGAGACTTGTGGCCAATGCAAATTTGATCCCTTTCTTTGCATAGTATAGGAATTGGCAAGGCCAGATGTTTGTTTCATGCTATTATTGCTCATATCTTTTGCGAAAATCGAAAATTTTCTTTTCTTGATCTTATATTAAAAATAGTATCTGTACAAATATTGTAATAACTGTATACGGTCAAAACCGAGCTTGCCCTTCGTGTGATTAATCTAGGTCGGAACATGATGGATCGAGGGTCGTCATTATAATATCGAGCTTGAGATCTAGAGACCGATCAATATCGAGCTCGAGACCCAGAGACCAATCAATATCGAGCTCGAGATCTAGAGACCGATCAATATCGAGCTCGAGATCTAGAGACCGATCAATATCGAGCTCATGTCAATATCGAACTCGATATCTAGAGATCGATCCACACCAAGACCGGCCAAGATCGAAATCGAGCCAAGGGACAAAAGAGCCGTTATAGCCCCACTTAGGGAGAGAATCTCAGCGAAAATCAAGGAAAAACTAATTACTTAATCTATCATGGGATCCCACTATTATTTTTAATCATACCCAATATGGGATTCCCCCACTATATTAAGAGCGATTATCATTTGTAAGAGGACACTGATTGATACACACATTCATTCTAATATACACAAGAAAATAGTGCTGATACTGTCCTTCTCTGGTTTTTGGTATTTTGGTCATATTGTTTCTTCTATCAATTGTTCTTCACCCAATTTGGAGGTGATTAAATTGGAAGGCTTAGGCTAACTAGTTCATCTGGTTTGCATTCATCTCCCTTATAATTAATTTCAGTACACATCTACTTATCTTTTCCAATTTATACCACGTATCCTTAGAACTGCGTATAAATTCAACTCTATCCATTTTTCGGGTAAACAGTTTGGCGCCTACCGTAGGGATAAGGATAATAGTGGTTATTTGGTACGAATCTCTGTGAAATACACTATTTTACACTTGCTCTTGGAAGTGCCTTTGATTTCAGGTTAAAAACAACGAACTCTCAATTAATGGCCCTATCTATCGATAACGAAGCTGGCCTTCAAGATGAGAATAACAACCTGACGCCTGGGGATAAAAGGCTACTCGTCGACCCCGTTGGAACTCAAGCCGTAGATCCAATTGACGTTAATTCACATGTGGCCATTGAGGCGAACCAACGTTCCGACTCAGAAAACAACATTCATGGTGGAACTCGATCTGCAGTTCGAAATACACAAAAATGCTGGAGGAGACGGGATCAGCCTGCGTATGATTTTCGAAATGTTGCAAGCTCAACAAGTAGCGATAGCTCAGTTGCAGAGCCAAACCCAGGCACCGAGCAGGCTCGAGCCTGGTCCACCCCAAGAAGTCACCCGCGAAACGGTGCCAACTGTAGTAAAGTCGAATGAACAAGAATTGGGGACTAATCCTGAAATTATTAAGATGCTCGAGGAACTGACAAAACGAATAAAGTCAGGAGAAAGGAGGATTGAAGCAAACGACCAAAAGGTGGAAACTTATAACTCTAGGGTTGATCAGATCCCGGGGGCACCATCAATATTGAAGGGCTTGGATTTCAAAAAATTCGTGCAAAAGCCTTTTCCCCCGAGCGCGGCTCCAAAATCGATCCCCAAAAAGTTCCGCATGCCCGAAATTCCTAAATACAATGGAACGACCGACCCCAACGAACATGTCACCTCTTACACATGTGCCATCAAAGGGAACGATCTATAAGATGACGAGATCGAATCCGTATTATTAAAGAAGTTCGGTGAAACCCTGTCAAAGGGAGCAATGATATGGTATCATAATTTACCGCCTAACTCTATCGATTCTTTTGCTATGCTTGCAGATTCTTTCGTAAAAGCACATGCCGGAGCCATAAAGGTCGAAACCAGAAAGTCGGATCTATTTAAGGTAAGACAAAAAGATAACGAAATGCTAAGAGAGTTTGTATCTCGTTTCCAAATGGAACAAATGGATTTACCACCGGTCACAGATAATTGGGCAGTTCAAGCTTTCACCCAAGGACTAAACGAACGAAGCTCGATGGCTTCACGACGGTTGAAGAAGAACTTGATCGAGTACCCGGCTGTTACCTGGGCCGATGTACACAATCGATATCAATCGAAGATTAGAGTCGAAGACGACCAGTTGGGTTCTAGGTTCGTTATTTAAAGGGACACCGACCGAGAACCGAGGTCGAATAGGGACCGATACAGGCCGTATAACGAAGATCGTAAGGGTGGCGAGCCAGGACGCAACCCCGTACGAGGCGAAAGGAAAAGTGATCGAGGCCAAGGGTCTCGAAGGCTGATGAATAAGAGTAGGTTCGACAAGCACACCAGACCTAAGGAAGCACTACGGTTATCAGAATATAACTTCAACATTGATGCATCCGCCACCGTATCGGATACTAAATGGCCTCGACCTCTACAGTTCGATCCAGCCTAGAGAAGTCCCAATCAAATGTGCAAGTATCATGGCACTTATGGCCACAAAACGGAAGATTGCAGGCAGTTGAGAGAGGCGGTAGCCCGGTTATTCAATGAAGGGCACCTTTGAGAGTTATTAAGTGACCGAGCCAAGAACCATTTCAAAAACAAAGAATTCAATAGACAAAGCGAACAAGAAGAGCCACAACACATCATCCACATGATCATCGGAGGGATCGATGCCCCCCAAGGGCCGGTGCTTAAACGCACTAAGATGTCGATCATAAGAGAGAAGCGATCTCGAACTCAGGACTACATACCTAAAGGAACCTTATCCTTTAGTGACGAAGACGTGGAAAGAATCATGCAGCCCCATAACGATGCACTGGTAATATTTGTACTTATGAATAAAACTCAAGTTAAGCATGTGTTAATTTATCCAGGTAGCTTGGCCAACATCATTCGATCGAGGGTCGTAGAGCAACTCGGTCTATAGGACCAGGTTGTGCCCGCAACCCTGGTACTAAACGGATTTAATATGGCATGTGAAACTACTACGGTTGAGATAATTCTGCCAATTATCGTGGTCGGGACCATCCAAGAAACGAAGGTCCACGTGATCGGAGGCGACATGAGATATAACGCCCTGTTCGGGAGGCCATGGATCCACAACATGAAAGCAGTACCCTCGATCCTTCACCAAGTTCTAAAATTCTCAACACCAGAGGGAATCAAAACAATCTACGGAGAGCAACCAGCTGAAAAAGAAATGTTTGTCGTCGATGAAGTGATTCCGATATCATCACTCTCATCGACAAAGGGATTTAATTCGAAGGAAAAACGGGAAACCAAATAGCATCACAAAAGCCAGCCTCGACCCAACTAGAGAAGCAGGAGACTGGCGACGATGATGATTATGGGTTCCCTCGATCTTTCATGGTCCCCGATGATTCCGACGCTACCAAATCAACGGTCGAAGAACTGGAGCAAATCACATTAATCGAACATCTGCCCAAACGAAAGGTATACCTGGGCACGAGGTTAAGTCCCGAGCTCAGGGAAAAGCTTGTTCAATTTCTTATAACTAACATGGATTGTTTCGCTTGGTCCCATCTTGACATGACAGGAATCCCACCGGGAATCACCACTCATAGACTAAGCTTGGATCCGAAATTCCATCCGGTAAAGCAAAAAAGAAGGCCCAGTCCGAGGTCAAACATGCCTTCATCAAAGACGAGGTAACCAAATTTCTTAAAATAGGATCCATTCGAGAAGTAAAATACTCCGAATGGCTAGCAAACGTGGTGGTAGTCCCTAAGAAGGGAAACAAACTTAGAATGTGTATAGATTATAAAGATCTGAATAAAGCATGCCCTAAGGATTCAAAGACCTCGTTTATCACTAAGTACGGTACTTACTGTTATAATGTAATGACATTCGGTCTAAAAAATGCTGGTTCAACTTATCAACGCTTAGTAAATCGAATGTTTGAAAAACAAATAGGAAAATCAATAGAAGTTTATATTGACGACATGTTAGTCAAGTCCCTGTGAGCAGAGGA